GACAGAGACCAACTACAATGCCTGCACGCCTGAAACACTGTGCCAATTCATGCCTCGCACAGACAGGAAATGTCAGTCTCAGATTCCTGTTTAGATCTTTACGTGAACCCTTTCCCTTCTCGCTTTTTTCTGCTCATTCACTTGTTCTTTCAGTCTCCATCTGTTTTCCCAGCTCCCTCTCCCTCTGCAGTGGAATGTGCATCTCAGCAGTATCCGATGAACGTGTGGTTAACGGGGTGCTGCTGTGTGCGTTTGTCTGTGTTTTCATGTTTCATGTGCGTACATGCAGCCTCCCAAATGGAGACCGTAGACGAGGAGTTTCAACAGGAAGGAAAAAAAGAGGCAGACACACTTGGATAGGATGGAGCACATCCACTGGGAATTACCCACTCAGAAATATGGGTGGGTAAGAAAAACAAGGCTTTGTGAGTCCTGAACAGCAGTAGGTTATAACCAACCAGTTTTACACACCTGGTTCAGCAAACTCAGTGTAGAGTGAGAAAGTCTTGCAAAAAGCCTAGCAAAAAAAGGCTGAGATGAACATCAAGACTGTGCACAGTAGCTGTGATAATTCCTCCTGTTAGTACTGGCTGTGAAGAGATTCCCTCCTGAAGTTTTTCCAAAGTAAGAGATTGGGAACAAAATCTAAAGTTCTCGTTCTGTGAGAAAGTTGAGTGAATGCTAATATGAGGTGTCAGCAGTCACTGAAATCAAGAGGGTTTCTCACAAATTAAAAATATTTTTAGATCAACATTTTCATGTGTCTCTACAGTGTTTCCTTGCTTGACTTGGGTGGAGGGATAGAAACAGAATCATGAAGTCTTGTACAAAAAAACTTTGGAAATTAGCCACTTGATTTGACTAACTCAGACTGTTAGCTTTGGCTGAACTTCAGTAAGCATTTTTGCACACCAGGACTGCAGATTTTAGCCCTCATCACTTACATTGCAATAACTTCAGGCACAAATCTTTAATCTTCACAGCTGGTATGAACAGGAGGAACAGTTACAGTGACCAAAAGCCCTTCCAATGTAAATACGGTAATGTCAGTAATGTTTTAAAAGAGACTTGAAAAAGTGAACATATGCTTTAAGATAATAAGTCATTTCTCTCTCTTCTTTTATGTGTTGTGAATATTTGAACAAGTGTGTAATATTCCTGTTGTTTATGACAGAATCAAATAAACTCTTGAAGCACTTGAAGTGGTGGAGAATATTTGTACATTTTATTGTAGCAACAAGACCTGAATTGAATCCCTTTTATGGCAATCATCTGGCTTGGTGAAATAGATCTGAACAAGACATGCAGGGTCCCTGCCAGGTCCATTGAGGCTTTTCTGCAGTTCACACTATGTTCTATAAGTCACTATATCAGGACACGGATGAAAGAAAAAGATGCATTTTTGCAAGTTTAATTTAATTTTGAAAGTGGGACTAAAGACATTCTTACCATTTCTCTATGGTAAATCTCGCCAGTGATTTAATCATAGCCATGAGTCACAGTCATGTAATTGTTATCCATTTGGACTTCAGAACTCACTTTTAGATTTTCTGGCAGGAACTCTATCAGTTTTTAGTTAATTGACATCAGTCCATGGCAACAGCCTGCATGATGCTTTCAGGGAGGGCCAGAGAAACCATTTGGAGGGGTTACGATGACTATTGGACGCTTGGTCTCTTGCAGACGGGTGGGAGAGCACATACAGGAAATGTCTCTTTGGTTGAGTAGCCAAGATAAATATCACACAGTTGGCACTCCAGAGAAGCCCCTGGCTCTATATACGTCCTTACACCAAGTTGTCTAGGTTTTCTTTACTGTCTGTGTAGCTGGAAAGAAATACAACAACCTCACTCTTGTTGTGCCCACGCCCTTTATACTGACGGATTCCAAATTTGCGTTATTACCTGTGATTACAAGGGTTTCTTGTTTGGACACGGATGTGATGCTTAAGGATTAAATTAAAAATGAGCTTAAACACAAAATCTGAACAGATGTGACATCGATAAAGTGTGGGCTATGTAATCAAAAGGAGCCTGTTAATGTGGTAAGCTCAAAAAGATTTTCAGGGTAAATGTGGAGAATGCTTTTCTGGCCTTAATTGTCAGCATAAGCTATAGTTGTGAGTCATCCAAAAACTTACATGATTCACCATGGTTACTCTCAATATCAAACTGAACCCTGGATTCAGTGCTTTGTTTATGCAGCACACAGGGTTGTTGTGTACTGTCTCCATTTGGTTGTATACAACAGTGTTTCCACAGGCGCCGACACGTGGACAGGACAACACTTCTGGGGGAAATCTCAGAGGGGGAGAGGGTGAGTGGAAGTTTGGAGGGGGGGACTCCTCTCCTTCTTTAGAAGTCCTAGATTTATATCACAGTGCTGCAGCTGGTTAACGTTAACCCCTCAACTCCCGTAACTCTGGCCACAGATGTTACCTCAGCACACACATACACACTATATTTCCCTGTTGTCGTGCAGAGAGCGCACACTAACCCAGAGGATGAGATGCTCTACAGTTGTTCTTTCAGCATAATTTAACATGGAAGTACAAACTGTATAAAATACCCAAATTACGTACAAATTAGTCAACAGAGTTTATGGTTTCCCTGCTTGCAGTCTGATCTGTCTCTGTCTTTATATGGTCATTTTATTAGTGCCTCTAAAATGTAGGCACCAAATAAGTCAAGGATATTTCTATGAATCATGTAATGACAGATTTCCTCAGAAGGAAGCAAAAGCTACTTCTCTTTTTCTACCATTTACCACTCATCCCGTTATTGCCGTTTATTGTTTTGTTGCTGCTTTTATATTCTGTTCTCTGTGTGTATTTTTGTTGCCTTTGTTTTGATTATTGATTATAAATCTGGAGCTGTGACAATACAATATTTTATATAACTCATCACATTCAGCAGGAAAGAGAAGTGCCCTAAAAAGTGTGCCATCTACAGCCTTTCATGCTTGACCCATGCAAAGTAAAAATACAAATTTGTCATAAAATTGCACAGCTGTGCACGCATAGTAGTGGTACAGTCTTGCTGACTGTACAAAGGCAACCAGGACAACTTGTCTGCAGCATAGTTTTTTAAGAATTGCATGCTGACTGGAATAGATCAGACATTGAATCATCTTCCACTGCTTGGCTTCGTTTTTATTGGCTGAACGTTAGCCCACCTCCAGAACCCCAACAGACTGTTCCGGTAAGAACAAGCCTCTTTCCAGATTATTACACACACACACACATTTCCAGAAGTAGGATAACTCTCATGCAACTCTATCATACAGCGCATGCATTACACATTGTCTGTGTGTGTGTGTGTGTGTGTGTGTGTGTGTGTGTTACTCTCTCATTGTCTTAAAGATAAGTCTGAGGATCTATGTCTTTCATGTGGTCAAGTGGCATAGCATATAAATGATCCCTGCTGATTGGCCAAGGCTTTTATCTCCCAACAGGAAGTTCCTGAGGGCTTCCGTCACTAGTCCCTCTAAATCTGTGTTTCATTTGGAAAAAGCCACCAAAAGCAACAATATGTGCATGCAGCCCAGCTCTTTCTCTAAATTTAACTCGAAGTACTCAAACACAATTAACAAAGCATTTCACGAAGCAGCTTGTCTAAATGCTTCTTTCTACCAATACACGATCACAACCAAAGAAACATCTCGCTGGCTCTCACTTACTGGACTTTATTTGTACACTTTTTGCTCTTTGGCTTTACATAATGAACACTTAAGGAATACTTTAGTTTGTTATACACTTCGTAGCACCAATCACATCCATATTTGTTGGGTTGTTGTTGTTGTTGTCACAACCTTGTTGAGTGTACAGCATTCTGACAGAAGGCACTGATAGGAACAGTTTGCAATGTTTCACTCAGACAAAAGGAGATCCACAAGAGTTTTAGTCCATAGCTGTTCAGTATAGTTTGCTGTCGTACAAAAACACGTAAAACACATAAAAATATATACTTTAAAAAAAAGAATCGACAAAAAGAATCCCTTTGTGAAAGCAGCTGTAGTGATCCTATTTTTTTAGATGGATAGTTACCCAACACAATTTTACCAAACATGTTAAGGCCATTGTACTGTAAACTTAACACTGACTGTACTGCTAGCCCACTATAATAGGTCCATACAGGAATATTATAATGATCCTTTATGAGGGAAAATTACATTAAATTACAGGGAAACAAACCTAAGAGGTGGAGGCATGGCCTTAACTACAACTACAAACATATGTCACTTGTGCCTTATTAAAAGGGCACAATACCCACCCTTGGTAGCTATAGGCCTCTGTACCAGGAGCTGTTTTGGGTGTTTTCATGTCACCCTTTAAATACACTGATTCTGGGAAGACAATAGACAATAAACCTGTGATTAGAGTAGCTGTTGAGTTAAATTACAGTGAAGTTAACTATTCCTCATCTTGCTGTGGATACCCAACTCAAGGACCCCATACCCTCCCCTCCCTCCCCCACCACCA